TTTCTAGACCTGGGCTCAGCTTTTTTTAAGGTATTGGTGAGATCCGAGCCGGGAATCTGTGGCAAAACTGGATGTGGACTCATCCCCCTCTAATTTATTTGCGTGATGCCCATCATACGTTTTTCCAGCCTCTTAATTTTGGAGTGGTGTTGCTGTGGCAGGTTGCACGTTGTGTGTGTCCCCCCCCCACACACACACACACTTTGCAGGCCGGGACACAATTCCCGAAGGGAACAAAACATTGGGTGCCAGCAGCAGTTTGGAGTCGTGGGGTGAAAATAATCGGGTTTAAAACCTCCGATGAAAAATCCGTACCTCTCGTGGTTTGGGGTTTTTTTTTTCTTCCTCACTGCTTCCTTTCCTGCTTGTGCATCTCTTTTTTACCCCCCACAGAACCATATTAAGAGGCAGAGATTCAGAAACCAGGGAAATTATCTGAAACTGTAAAACAGAACAAAAAAAACCCTCCAATAATTGGGGAACAGACCTGACTCGCACGGGGGGGGTATTTTTTACAGAGTTTTTACTGAGACAGGCATAATTACCAAGTGGCATCACGACACTCACAGAGGTATTTACTGCTGCACAGTGGATCTGCAGCACTCCCTTTGCTTCTGGAAGAAAGTGGCTGGGATTTTGGGGGTTCACTCCCCTCCTTGGTGCTGCAGAGATGGGGAATGGGACGGGATGGGATGGGATGGGATGGAACCCCCTTGTGCTCCTGCCTCTTTCCCTGCCTGTGCTCCCAGCTCTGTGATACCCAACTGATGCTGATTCTCAGCTTTCCCCGTCCCACATCCCTCTTAGCACCAGAATTCCCTTGCTTTAACCCAGTTTTCCCATGGCCAGTGCCAGTTTGGGTTGCTCTCTGAATCCCCCAGACAAGGTGGAGGGGCAGGTTGTGCGCAGGTAACGCTTTAATCACCTTTTTAATTGTCCTTTCCCGGTGAGAACCAGCCTGGCTCCAGCTCCTGCAAACTGGTTTTAACTGGGATAACACTCCCCTGGGTAAAAACCCCATTTTTTTTTTTCCTCCTTCCACCAAGACAAGTGGATGCCATCACTTCCAAAAGCGTCGGGTGACGGCACCTGGCTGCGTGTGGTGCCTCATTTGAGTTTATATTTTGACCCACGAAAGGACAAAAAAAAAAAAAATCCGTCTATTTTTTGTTTTCTTCCTGTAAGGCACCACACCCCCACTTATTGACGGGGAAATTATACACCAGAGGGGTGTTTGTTTATAAAAGAAGTGTGATTCAGCTGCCACAAGGAGCCTGGAAAGGGTTAAACCCGAAATTATATCGGTCCAACCGGAGAACCATAAACAGGAAGTTCTTCCAGAAAAATTTAAATTTAAACCTTGGGTGACTCAGGTTGGCTCCGGAGCTGCTCAGGAAGGGACGCAGGGGTTGCAACCCTGGATTATTCCCGGTGGGTAATTACACTGGTGGTTTGAAAACAGCAGGGAAGGCGGGAAGAGCGAGGCTGGGAGGGATCAGGGCGTTGGATAATCCCGGTTTTTTTGGTTTGCTCCATCACAGACCTTTTCTCCCATTGCTCAGAGTTGGGTTTTGCAGCAAGTCACACTGGGAAAAATGTTTCCTGGGGGTCCAGTTGGATGGATCAATGTTGGAGCAGTGCTGGCGTGGGGGCACTTGGGAGTGGAACTGGTTTGGGAACCAGCAGTGGGAAAAGCCAAACTGGGAGGCAGCAGGAGCAGAGGCCAAGCCAGAGTCCCAAAATCCATGTTTTTTTAGGTCAAACCTTGGGTATCAGTTTGAGAATTTGGGCTGGTCCAGGAGGGGACTCAGGCACCTTCCTGGGAAGCAGCTGACGTGGATTTGGGATGGGATGGGGTGGGATGGGATGATGCTGAGCTCTAGGTGAGGCATCTCTGGGAAAAAATACTTTGATTTGATTATGAAACATTTCATTATGAGCCCGGATTTTTCCGTTTAGTTAAACCACCACAACACAGAAATATTGGGAGATTTTGGCTGAGAGGCTTTAACCAAGCAGCACCTCTTTAACTTAATTAAATACACCGAAAACAGCAGTGGAATTCCTGGATTTTCATTATACTGCTAGGTGAAAGAAATCCAATTATTTTCAGGCCGGCAGCGTGGCTGTACCCAGCTGACCCAGCCACCCTTACATATGTTGTGTAATTTATTTAGAGTACTCTTCACCTTCGAGAAAACCATTCAGGTAACCCAGATTTTCCTGGGAATTAAGGATTTTAAGAATGAAGGCTGTGCTGGCAGGTGAGCTGCTCCTCCAGCTGCTTGAGCAGAGGAATCCTTTGAAGCAGCTCACAGCTCCAGACAACCCAGGTTGTTACCTTTTTTTAATATCCTCTTTCTAAATATTTACAGGGTTTGTTTGGGGTTTTCATTATTGCTTCATCCTCCCTGTCAGGTTTGTTTTTAAGCAGAGGGTGTTCTTCAGCTGTTTGTGGAGCATCCTTGCATTTATTTGGGGTGGTGGGAGGGTGGGGAAGGTGCTGGGCTGGAGGTGCTGACCTTAGGGGTCACAGTGGCTCTTGGGGAATCATAGGATCATGGAATATCCCGAGCTGGAAGGAACCACAAGGATCAGAGTCCAACTCCTGGCCCTGCACAGACACCCCAACAATCCCACCCTGTGCTGAGAGCATTGTCCAAACCCTCCTGGAGCTCTGGCAGCCTTGGGGCCGTGACCAAACCCTGGGGAGCCTGGGCAGTGCCCAACCACCCTCTGGGGGAAGAACCTTTCCCTGAGATCCAACCTGACCCTGCCCTGGCACAGCTCCAGCCATTCCAGGGTCCTGTCCCTGCTCACAGGGAGCAGAGATCGGAGCTGCCCCAACACTGTGAGGTCTCCCCTCAGGCTCCTCTTCCACCCTTTCCCTCTCTAGGGTATCCACACTGCCCACAAAGTGCCGGGGGACAATCCCTGCTCCCCCCAAACCCCTCGGGGTCGCCCGAGCCCGGCGGCGTCGCCGCTCACACCTTCCCCTCTCCTCTCTCTCTCTCTTCCAGGATCCCGTTCAAGATCGGGCAGCCCAAGAAACAGATTGTACCCAAGACAGTGAGTAAACCAGTTCCCTCTTTTTAGCTCCAGCCTTGGATCATGTGGCTGATGAGTCAGGCCGGCACTTTGACTCGTCCCATTTTGCGGAGTGTGGGAGGGAGCTGGAGCAGCAGAACCTGTTGCCGCGTGTGACCAGCGCTCGGCTCCTCGTGCGAGGAGCGAGGGGGAGCCCCATCCAGGGAGAGTATTTTGGTTTGGGATCTGTTTAAATTATATATATATTTTTTTTTTAATTTTTTTTTTTGAGGTGTTGGGGGGGGGGAAGAGCTCTTTGGGGCTGGCACGGTTTTTTCCCTCGGAGATGGCTGAACGGGTTTTGCTTCCTTCCTTCCTTCCTTCCTTCTCCCAGCAATGGGCTTGTTTGTTCATCCTTTCGGAGCAGATGGAGGAGGAGGAGTGGTTCAGATCGCTGAATATAACTGTTTCCAAAGAAAGGCTTATAAGCTGAGATGCTTTAGTGCTCGGGCGTGAATTAATTTGTGCTGCACAGCATTTGCTTTAAAAGCAAATTAAAAAAGCATTTTGTATTCCCGTGGATTTGAGGCTCCTACCCCAAGTGCTGTTGCTGCTGCTTGCAGCTGCCTGTGGTATTTTCCCTCCTTAAGCAGCTTGGCTTTGCATTTGTCCCGTGCCAAAAAAACAAAGCTGTGGAACCTCCCAGGAGCTGCCCCTGCAAAGTCACCTGCACACCTGGTCTAAAACCAAGGCCCTGGCAGGCAGCACCGGGGGCAGACCTTGTCTCTCCAGCAGCACTGGTGAGCTAATCCCTTGAACCAGACTAGCATCCCTGATCCTTCCTCTCCGGGCCGCTCAGCGCGGCTAATTCCGCAGGATGCGTGGGCACCCCTGCTCGTGGGGCAGTTTCTCCTTGGGACATGACATTTTCCCTGGAGGCAGAGGGCTAATCCCCCCACTCCCTTTAAGGCTTGATTGTCATGTTTTATTCTGCAGGATTTGGTGGCTGTCTGCTGCCGTGGAACTGCAATTTGCTGTAACAGCTCCAAACTGTCAGCGCAGAATTTAAGCCAGGCAGGCGACAAGATGAGGGCTCATAAAATTCCTCGGTGGTTTCTGGTTTTCTGCTTCCTTCAGCTGCCCTTTTCCAGGGGCTGGTGGTCCACTGGTTGGCTGTGGTCCCTCAGGTGAGGCAGCCACCAGCCTCAGGTGTTCACAGCCCTCCCAGTTCATCCCAGGAGCCCTCACTTTTCTTTGCTCCATCACATTTGGCCTCTCACCCTCTTTCCAACACCAGTGTCCTTCCAGGCTGGTGCAAGACCCAACTGCTCTGCAGCTCTGGGTGTCTTGACCAGCTTTCCTGGACGTCCCCATCCCACCCATTCCCACATCCCAGCTGACTGTATTATTTTTTCTTGCTGATTTCCCTCACCACCTCCTGCACTCGCCGTTGTGAGAGGTTTGTCTCCCCCAAAATCAGCCATTCCCGAGCTTGAGCTCCCTGCAGATGAACAGTGGCACCTTCGAGATCTTCCCTTCCCCAGAGCTGCTGGAATGTGCTGTTCTGAAGCAGTTGGCAGGCTTTGCTTATATATATATGTGTGTGTATTAAATAGAACAGCTCAGAATATCCGGCAGGCAGAGGTTTGTTCAGCAGCAAGAGCGTTCCCAGGCCTTTTCCTTTTCCTTCCTTCCTTCCTCAGCTCCCCAGGAACAAGATTTTGTGTCAAGGACTCCCAAGTTGGAGACCAATTTTTAAGTGGCTTCCACTTGCTGTGTGATGATGATGATGATGATGATGATGTTGCTCTCCAGGCAGCACATTCATGGAAAGCAGAAAACAGGAAGCTCCCAAAGCCTTGGAACTTCACAGCAAGTGTAAAGTGCAGCTCTTCAAAGCAGAACAAATGGCAGGAAACCACCGATATCCCCTGGGATCAGGCATTCCATGTCGTGGTGTGGAAGGGATGGGGTTGCTTTGTAGCCTCAGCGAGCTGCAGGCCCCCAAATTCACCTCCCCGGTTGCGGGCTGAGATGCTCCATCTGTGCAGGCTTTTGGGAGCAGCAGTAGCAGCCAAGGTCTGTGATATTCCAGATGTTGGGCTCTGGAGCCCGCTGCAGGAAGTGGGAAGGTGTGGCATCTCCAGGGCTGCATCCCAAGCCGATCAGAAGGGAAGTGGTTGTGGGTTAGAGGATCTCCCACTCACAGGGACTGGACCACAAAAGAGGATCGGGGGGTGGGGAGGGGGAAGCTAAAAAAAAAAAAAGGCATTTGTTAGGATCTGATTTCTCTGGCTCTCCACGAGGCCTGGGACTGGAGTCAGGAGAGGGGGGTGGCTTTGCCAGGAGGCTTTTTTGTTGTCTTGATGAAGCGATGCTGGGGCTGGTGTCAAATCCAGGCCGACATTAGTCCTGAAAAGCAATTTGCCTGGGCTGCCGAGGAATTAGTCATGACTCCCTGGGCCCACTCGCCTCTGATCCTTTGGAGAAGGGCACGGTGTCAGCCACAGTTTAGCTCTTCAGGGAGGAGGAAACCCCCCGTGGAAAATATCAGCTGGTGAACCGAGGTGATCTCCCACTCCCCAGACATGCCTCTGCTTTGTTTCCACCTTAACCTGGGCAAATCCAATTCCAGACAGCATAATCTCTCCCCTCCTCTTCCCTGAAAAGAGCAGCTGTCACCGGGCTTGCCGGGAGCCGGGTGGGAGGATCTAATGCAGCGAGGACCTGCTGTCAGCAGAGCAGCACAGGACACAGCCCCACAGCCCAATTAAACTAATGCCCGGTGATAGGAGTTAAACCTGTTGGAATTACATCTCTCTGCACAATGTTTATTGCTCTGACCCAACACGGAGATGTTCTCCCTCCCTCGGGACAGCTCCGGTCGGAGCGGAGGTTACGGAATCGGAGCTGTCTTGTCTCCCGAGCTCTCCTGCAGCTCCAGCTCGCTGAAGTTCACCCATGTCACCCCGAGGTTGTTCCCTGCTCTTCAGCAGGGCCGGGGTTATCCAAGCAGGCAGGGAGCAGGGAAGCAGAGCCAGCTGTGCAGCTCCCTGTGGGAGCCAGCAGGTGCTCGGGATGGGGCGGCCCGGAGCGCAGCCCCTCGCGTCACCCGGGTTTGATCCCTTCTCCCTCCCTGCTTCCCTCATCCCTGCTCCATCCTGGGCTGACTCAGACCACTCTCCCTCCTCCTCCTCGCTGGCCAACCTGGGCTGAGTCAGCTTGGCAGGGAGCGGGACCTGAGCTGCCAAACCTCCCTTCCTTGACTCATCCCGGCAGCTCTGCCTTCCCCAGGGGTGTGGGACAGAGGAGCTCCATGAGCAGGAGGATTCCACTGCAGCTGCTGGCCCTCGGTGCCTTTCCATTGGGCTCCACCAGTGAGCTGGAAATCCCAAAACAACGGAGTGAATGTCGCAGAAATGGTGGGGTGAGATCGAGTGACTCCGGTTAAACCATTTTGCTGGTTTTCACTTTGATTTTCAGCGGGACCAAACTGGTCTCTGCATTTGGGAGGTGCATCCTTTTTCCCTCTGCCACCTTTCTGGAAAGCTTTCTTTCTGAGTGGGGGTTTGGAGAGCTTGCTGGGTGAAGTCCATGACATCCCAGACCCACCTGAATTCTGCAGCGTTGCTCTGGCTCAGGGCCCTGCAGAGTGAATATTCACCCTCATGGCTTAACCTTGAATCTCTAGCTTGATGGGATGGCAAAAGCTCAGCAGAAATTCCAGGTTACAACAGAATTTCTGGCCTAATTATATGGGTTTCTCTTTATTTTTTTTTTTTTTGAGAGGAGGGAAGAAGAAACACGTGGTCTCCTCTTTTTCCCAAGACCCACGAAGAGGCTGAGACCACAGGAACATGTAGAAATCAGCTCATCCTCCTCCTCCAGGAGAAAAAAATAAACCTCAGGGGAATAGGAGGGTTCATCACAGTCCCTTATTTCCATCTCTTTGTAGTATTGGCTTTGGTCTTGGTTCATTGCCTCGTAACCGTGGTGGTGATTATGATCCCGCCCTTACAGCAGGAGGGATGTTATCGCAGGTGGGAGGCCCAGTGTTTGCAAACAAAAAATAACTGGGTGAAGAAGGACGTTGTTTCATCTCAAAGCTTTCAAGAACTCGTCGTTCTTTATGTAGATTTAAATAAAAACCCCCGAGTCGAGCGATTTTTTACATTTCCCTGTGCCTGGAAGGGGAAAAAAAAAAAAAGGTTCGGCGCAGAAACACGGTTTGATTTCTTGAGTTCTCGCAGAGAGGCTGCGGAGAAGTGGGATTATTTTAATATCACGGAAACTTCCCTTCAGGATATTGTAATTTTCTTGCCTGTACTTCTTGTTCTCGTTACTCTTAAGGTGACAATCCTCTCCACGGCCTCGTGCTGTGAGTGTCGGCCGCGTGTGACCACTGGCACTCTGGGAGTGGGAATTATCCTGTGCTCTGCGGAGTGTTCTCAGCTTGGCCTCCTCGCCTGGGAGTCTGCACGGTGGGAGCGTGTGAGAGGTGGTTTTCCCTCTCCGGAGCGCTCTGCTCCCGGCTGGATTTGTGGGATATCTGGGCTCCCGCGATGCCGGCGGGAGCGGCGCTGACTGGGAGGCTCCATGAGCTCCCAGACTGTGATGACTGGGAGCCAGTTGCTGCCTGTGGGCGTGAAAAATAAGAGCAATCCATGGGCAGCTGTCTCTGGAGAGATGGGCTGGGGATGTGAGTCAGGCCAGGCAGCTGAAGTGTCTCCGTGTGGAGCCACCTCGATCCCATGGGGAAAGCACACAGGGCACTGAGATGGGGTGACTGGGGGAGCTTGGACGGTTTGAGGGTTCACAGCACCTGTGGGGAAGTTTTGCCTTTATGGAATGAATCCTAGAATCCCAGAATGGTTGGAGTTGGAAAGGATCTTAAAGCTCATCCAGTTCTTCCACCCCCTGCCAGGAGCAGGGACACCTTCCACTGTCCCAGGTTGCTCCAACCTGGCCTTGGACACTCCCAGGGATGGGGCAGCCACGGCTTCTCTGGGAAATCCATTCCAGGGCCTCCCCACCCTCCCAGGGAGGAATTCCTTTCTGATATCCCATCTAACCCTCTGGCAGTGTGAAGCCATTCCCTGTGTCCTGTCAGACCCATGTCCCAAGTCCCTCTCCAGCTCTCCTGGAGCCCCTTCAGGCACTGGAATTGCTCCATATCAATTAAGAAACGATGCCTTTTGCTTATTGCACAGAAAGGAGGGAATCTAACAGCAAGAAGGGACAGATAACCCTGAGTATTTGCAGGTAGCTTAGTTTCATAACCAAACCCTCCAGTTTTTTAGAGGAACTAGTTGCCGAGCCCACACCAGGAAGATCCTGCAGAAGGTGGAGAAGGCTGGAGCTCCACACCGAGGGAACGGCCCCACCAGCCCTCAAAGGGCATATTTTCGAGTCGCGCCCGACCCTCTCTGGTTTGCAACCAAAACAATTCACACCTAGGGCTTATAAATAGAGTGCAGCCCTCCCTGGTTATTTTAGCAGCCGGAACAGCCACGGGGATGGAGGGTGAGCTTTCCCCCGTGCCGGTTACCTGACCTCCCGGCACCAGCTGCCGCGGATTTCTGCAGCTCCGCGAACACCAGGCACAAAGTCGTGTGAGCTGCCCCCACACTGCTCCGTTCCCGTTCTCCAGCGACCAATTTTAGCAGCACAGAAAGGGAGCTGGAGCTACCATGGGGGTTTTTTTTGTTGTTGGTTTTTTTTTTTTTTCTTTTTCTGCAGGCAGGGAGAGCCAGCTCGCATCCCCCGGATGGTGGGAGCTGATGGTGCGGACAGCTGGCCACTGGGACGGGGCTGGGGACGTGGCTGGTGGCTGCCTGCCTTCACACTGGGCTGGAGGAGCTCCAGTGCAGCCATCCCTCCCCCCCTCAAAAAAAAAAAGAGACTTAGGAATGGAGGTTGCAAGAAAACCGGGATCTCTGAGCTCCCATCTTAAAATTCGGGTCTTTTAATTTCGCTTGAAACGTCCCCATTTAAGCGCTCGGGTGTCGCGTCGAGCCCGGGATTGAAATCCCGAGGACAGCGTGGAGAATTGGAACAAACCTTTGGATCCTTCTAGTCCTGGCTGCCTCCAGCACTCCACACTTCCTTAATAGCACAGGAGCTTGACAACACAAGTGAACCCGGTGCTGGTCCCATGACAACAAACGCGCATGTATTTACTCTTGGCTGGTCAATTGAAATCCATTTGCTTCTTTGGTTGACGAGGTGTGGAATGAATGTTTCAAGTGTGTTAAAACAGTCAGCATGGAAGGAAAGTTCCCTAAAATATCTCCCATCGCTGGAGATCTGCTGCCAGATAGCAAGTAGGAGGGAGCAGTCATTGAGGGAGCGTCGGGAGAAGGCTGTGCCTGAGCTCTGAGCTCCCAGCACAGGTTTCCCCTCCCTTTTTGAGGTGTCACAGTCCACTTGGATCGTTGCTCCAGCCGAAGGGTTGCATGGGAGGGAGCCATGGCAGGGATAAGGAGCCTGTGGAGGGGGTGAATAATACAGAGATGGGAGGGCTCAGTGGTGGCTTGAGGGATTTAGGGGCAGTTTAACCATCTTGCTGAGGACAAGGAAGGAAGAAGTGACTGGGAGGGGGTCTGGCATCCAGCCACAGCCAGACCCACCTCGGGGTCCTTTGGAGCTGGAGGAGAAGCAGCTTCTCTCAGTTTTTGGAAGAGAAAGTGGGCTCGTCCCCCCAGCACCTCTCGAGCTGTGCTCAGTTGTGATCTCCCTGCTTTTAGGGCATTCCTGTTCCATCAGCTTCCAGTTCACGTGCTGGAGCACATCCTTGGAGCGAGCTGGCACGTTTGGTGGCAGTGACTTTGCTCCAGGAGAGTCTGGAGTTGAAAAACCCCCAGACTCCATTTCCTTTTGAAGCAATAACCCGTTACAGCTGCAGCTTGTGCTTCCTGGGGTTCAGGCTGGTATTTCCCAGCGACAGGTTTCCCTGCAAAGGTTTGCCACTCCAGGCTCCCCTGCAGTCCCTTGGAGCTGATTTCCATCTCTTCTTTCCGCAGGTGGAGAGAGACTTTGAAAGGGAATATGGAAAGCTGCAGCAGTGAGTATCAACCACACTGGTCAAACAGGACCGGCCACGTGCTTCTCTCCTGTCCTCTTACTGCATCTTCCCAGGGAATTTTAGCCAGTTATGCTCTTCCCAGGGAGCAAATCACTCACTGCCCTATAATTTCTAATTCTTCAGAGTTTTTCTGGTGGCTGAGTGTTGGAAGGTGTCCTAAGAAGTATTTGCAGTGGGGTTGAGGTTTGCAGATTATGGCAGCTCTAAAAAAGAGCGTGAAATTCCCAGGAAACCGTGGGCTCCCTGGACAGCCCAACATCTCTGAGGGTCAGGAGTGGCTTTGCCATCCTGGCTGTGTCACAGGAGCTCACAGGGATCATCTGGAAGCATTTGGCTTTGCCATTTGTGCTGTGTGAGGACTTGAAGAAAATATGTGAGCTATGAATAAGAGATCACCAACTTGAAAAGGTTAAAAAACCATCTGAAAACAACCCAAAAGGGTTGAGCTGCACTGAACTTCGTAGAGCCTTGCCTGGATATTTTTAACTCCCACCAGAAGCCAGCATATTCAGCCCGTAAATGATTTGTTGCATGTATGATACACTTGGGTTTCTTTCTTTCCAAGATTCCGACTTTGCCTTCTTCTCCCATCTTTCAGATTGGAAGATCAGACCAAAAAACTTCAGAAGGATATGAAGAAAAGCACAGATGCAGACTTGGGTAAGTGACTGCAGGATACATAGACTGTGAACTTGGCCACAGAGAGATGAAGTGACTTTCTCGAGATCACATGAGTAATGTGTGACAAGCCTGGAAAACAAATCCCGAGCTCAGTCCCACTCAGTTTGCTTCGTTACAAGGCCATCTGCGAGAGGGCTGCGAGCAGCAGCTCAGCCCAGGGAACACAGAACGTGTTCTGGGCTTGCTCCCTGTCTCCTGAGCTCTGTGGCCTTGGACAAATCCCTTTGTTTTCTCTGCCTCAGTTTCTGCAAAGTGAAAAATAGGCGTCGTTATTCCAGTTCTCGCATCAGCCAGGCGGGAGCAGCTCCAGCTGAGCCTCCTGTGTCAGCAGGGTGTAACTCACCTGCTTGGGGAAGGGCACTGAGGGTGGGACGAGGCTCTGGGGGGGTCTGCAGAGCACAGGCTGTCCGTGTTTCCCGTAGGAACTGCTGACCTGGCAGTTCTCATTCGGGAATAACCCTTCTCACTCCCTCGGTGGCCGCTTCCTTTGGCTTCTCCTCGTGGCAGTGGGCGATGCAGGAAGCAATAAACAGCTCAGCTCTGCCTGTTCCTGCCACAGCTGCATGTTTGGGGTGACATCTGCCCTTTCAGGTGTCCTGTCCCACCTCACAGCGCCTCCCTGCTCCCTCCAGAGCTTCTCCAGTCAGGAACCAGCGTTCCCACACCACGCGGACACAGATCCGCTGGAGGGGAACCGGGAGCTGGGTTCGCTGGGTGCCGGTTATCGAACAGAGCGGGGCAGGAACCTGCAGCAAAGAGCTGCTTTAAACACAGATGGTTTTCCTCAGCATGTGGTTTGGAGCAGTCCCTGTTTGTGCCGGGCCCCCACAGCTCGGGAGCCAAGGCTGATGCACCAGCGCAAACAGGGGTGGGCTGGGCCGGGCCAACACTCATCCCGTGGGATTGGGGTCACAGCGGGGCAGCCGAGTGGGAAGGAGCCCCACCAGCTGGCAGGTTTGGGGCTTCCCATGATCCAGACTCACCTGTGTGTCTGTGTGTGTGTGTGTGCTCGGATATGCCAGACACAAACACGGATCCGGGCGCTTGCCGTGCTCTCCCACCCTTTCCCAGCACGGGGAGAGTGGTGGGAAAGGCACCAGAAACAGGCACTGCCAGGACTCTTTTCCAGGCTGAAAACTGCCCTTTCCGAGGACTCTGGTCATTGTCAGGGATCCTTGGTAAGTTTTTCCTTGTTAAGGATTCCCCTCCCCTCCCTTGCAGTGGGCGTTGTTTATATGGAGCATTTCAAGTCCCAGAGGAGCTGTGGGAGGACTTTCTTTTTCCGTTCTGCTACATGGCAGAGTCACAAATGAGCCTTGGCCAGATCCAGGAGGATCTGATTTCTCATTTAAAGGCATGAAATCGTGAGTGTAGGGGAAGATGTCAGAGCACAGTCTGGTGAGGGATGGCTGAGGGGAAGGGAGGTGGATCAGATGGATCCCTGAGGATTGCTCTCCTCACCTGGCAGTGCCCATTCCCAAGGGGACATCCCTGTGCTTGCTCAGCCAACGTCCAGCCCCCGTCTCCAACAGGGTTGGCAGTTCATCCACGGTGTTGTGTCCTCCTGTCCTGTCCCTCTGTGCTGAGGGGGTTGGTTATTCACTGCCTGCGAACACTCCCTGGCAAACTGGACCTGGTGGCTCAAGTCTCCACCTTCTTCCCAAAAAACAAGACCGGTTCCTCCGTCTGCACAAGAAATATCCCTGTGAGGCTCTTCCAGCTGCAGCAGCGTGACTGGAACAGGGAATGGGATATCAGCAGCACTCCCTGTCCCGTGGTGAAAGATCACTCACCCCTTTCCCCACCCTTTTTCCAAAGCAAGCAGGATCTTAAGGAGCAGGAGGATGTTCTTTAACTGGAGATAAAAGGTCTCCATTGGAGTGAGGTGCAGGTGACCCACTGGATCCCCGTGGCTCAGGTTTGCCCTCAGTCTTCTCCGTTACTTTTGTCACGATTCAAAGGAGCAGTGGACTGTAAAATCCTAAATTCCTTTGGCTGGAGCTGCACGAGCAAAGAGTGGTGCACACCTTCTTGAGGGACAGGTGGTCCCTTCTCCCTCTCCCCTCTTTCCTTTCTCCTTTCTTCTCTCTCCTCTCCTCTGCCCTGGGACCCTCAGACCCCCCCTCACCCCCCTTTTCAGCGCCCTGCAGGTGAGGCCAGCGATGCAGAGGAAATTCCTGACCCAAATTCCCCTTGAACATTCCCAATCCCCCCTCCTCCAATTCCTGACCTCCCGGCCTCTCCCCTCCCTCGCAGTTCACTTGCAATCCTCTCTCCTGTGAAGGGGAAACTCAATTTTTCCTGCAGCCAAAGGAGTTGTGCCGTCCTCAGCTCCGTCCCGTTCTGGCACAAATCCCTCCTCAGATGTGGTCACACATATGGATTCTATCCCATCTGTTTAAAGGTTTAAATGCCTAAAGCCTTAATGTTTGGATAATAGATGGATACGGTAGCTTTGTTATTCCGTAGTTAGAGGCTCGTTCTGCTGTTGAGCTCCCCGGCTCTGCAGCTTCTGAGCTCTCTGCATAATTGTGTGTAACCTTTTAAATCGGAATGTTTAACCCCTTGATTTATGATCTTAAGCCCCATTATTTCAGATGGCTTTAACTTGGAATATCTGAGGCAGTACAGTAGGAGCCTTTCCAAAGCTCCTCCGTAGCACGGCTCAAGCATCTGGCTTTCTGATCTCAAGCTGGAATAACTTCCAGCACCGAGGAAAAAGAACATTTTTTTTTTTTTTTAAGTACTCGTGGCCCTTTTTTTTTTTTTGGTCTATTTTATCCCTGTTTATAGCGATGCTTTCCTTTTTATTCATATCTTTTTTTTTTTTTTTTCCATTCTGTACCTTAGCTAATTTCTTGTTCTTTTGTAGTGGTTCTGTCACAGGGATTGAATTTTCCCTTTGAAGACCAAGTGTTTGGAAAAAGAGGGGTGTGTCTGATGGGAAACAAGCTCAGTGAGACAGGAGCTGAAGCCCATCAGAGCGTGACCTGGTGCTTCTGAACTTCTTGGTGACTTCCCAGGGTCTGAAGGGACTTTCCATTCACCCCTGGCTTGTTCTCCACAGGCACAAAATTTAGGCTTATTGGGGGGAAAATGCTTAACTTGTGTCCCTGCTGCTGGAGAGGAAAAGAGAAGCCTCGTCTTCCAGCCCTGTCAGCCTGGTCCTTTCCCACTAAATCCACTTCAAATACATATTTTTTTTGTTGTAAAGCCATTTGAAAGACTTAATGGACTGTGATTTTTCTCATTGTGGAAGAGCTGTAGTGAGGCTGAGAGTGACACTTAATAGTCTGTCGAGAGAAGATGTATAAAAACCCCCATCTAGGAGTTGTTTTTTTTTTTTTAAGAGAACAGTGCTTTTGTTAGTCTGGGATTATTTCTGGCAGCGTCACAAGCTCCACATTGGAGTGGCTCAGACTTAACTTATATAAAAACAGTTCTCTGGGTGTTTACATGAATGAATTGGTGGCTTTTCCTTCCTTTTCCTCTCAGCCACCAGCGAGCGTCTCCCTGGAAGGCTGTGCTAAACCCCTCCTGGGTGGCTGCAGGGCCTGACTTTTGCCCCCCCTGCCCTGTGCGGATGTTTGTGCCAGCCCTGGCAGCGGATGGCATCATGACCCTCTCTGCTTTTCTTTTCCTTGCTCCCCCCAGCCATGTCCAAGTCTGCCGTGAAAATCTCCTCGGACCTGCTGTCGAACCCGCTGTGCGAGCAGGAGCCGGGATTCCTGGAGATGGTCACGGCCTTTGACACGGCCATGAAGAGGATGGACTCCTTCAACCAGGAGAAGGTGAACTGGCTTGGGCTGAAGGAGGGGAGAGCGGGGTGTGCTGGTGGTGTAGAATTCCATAATGGTTTGGGTCGGAAGGGATCTTAAAGCTCAGCCAGTTCTTCCTTGGGCAGGGACACCTTCTGCTGTCCCAGGTTGCTCCAACCTGCCCTTGGACACTTCCAGGGAGCCAGGGGCAGCCACAGCTTCTCTGGGAATTCCATCCCAGCCTCTCCCCACCCTCCCAGGGAGGAATTTCTTCCCAATATCCCATCTAACCCTCTGGCAGTGGGAAGCCATTCCCTGTGTCCTGTCCCTCCATCCCTTGTCCGGAGTCCTTATATCTTCCCCTTCCAGACAGATCCTCCTTCCCTTTTTATCATCATCCCCAAGGCTTTTCCCACACAAAAAGCTGGTCTGGTTGTACTGGGGATTTCTGCTCACCCCGAGCACCTGGGGCAAATCTGCTCCTTTTTGGTTAAAGAACATTGTATTGTGCCCCAGATCCCAAACCACCCCAGGGTGGGCTCTGTGCAAGGCCACTGGCTTTTCCAACCGTCCACTTTTGCTTTCCACAGGTGAATCAGATCCAAAAGACAGTCATAGAGCCTCTGAAAAAGTAAGTACCAGCACCATTTCATATATATATATTTTTTATATATATATATATATATATATATTATAACTAATGTATCCATGCAAGGAAGGGAGAGCTGTTGCAGAACCTTTGTAGCCAGAGAGGTGGGAAATACAGAGAGGAAAACACCCAAACCCCACAGTTTTGTCACCCTGGTTTGCAAAATTCCCACTTTTCCCAGGGTCACAGGTTGTGCCCCCAGACCTTTAAAGGATCCCTTCAGTTCTCTCCCCAGTACCCTCTGCAATCCTGAGATTTGCTGTTTTGTTACAGGAACAGAGCAAAGGGAGCAAAAAATAAAATGAAATTACCGTAATATGACAGTAAGTGTTGCAAATTGCTGAATAACAATTGTAGTTCAGGTTTGACACACACAGAGGGTTGTTGTGGTTTTGTTTTTTGGGGTTGGTTTTTTGGGGGTTTTTTTGGTTTCTTTTTTTTTCCTTTAACTTGTTGTTTCTGCCCAAATCTGAAAGTAAAATCTCCTGGATCACTTAGCACCTGAGGTTACAGTGTGTTCCTGTCTGGGGGATGTTTTGGTGACTCGAGTTTTACCTCGGTCGTCCTTCCACGACCAGAAATTCTTCCTTATTTAAGGGGGGGGGGGAAATAAAATGAAGAAAGAAAGATAGAAAGAAAAAGGAAAAAAATCCCAGCCTTTTGTTGCTTATTATCTAGATTGTCCTCATGAAAGATACATTAACTTTTTCTTCCAGCATTCTGTTAAAATTGGAAGAACTTGTGTTTCTGAAATATTATGTGTTTTTTTTTTTCCTCCAGCTTGTGTTAGTTGGTGAAATGAAAGACAATCCCTTCCCCTGCAAACCTTCCTTGTGTTTTAAATCCTGGGGTGGTTAACTCAGGGGAATAAAGGCAATTTCCATGTGTCCATGGCCATGGAGATGCTCCAAGGGCTGGAGCCCCTCTGCTCTGGAGCCAGGCTGGGAGAGCTGGGGGGGTTCACCTGGAGAAGAGA